TATATATATATATATACATATGTAAAATTTCTTATAAGAAACCAGGTCGATTTAAATGAAAATGACAGATTTTGCTTGGTTTCAAATTATATCAGCTGATTCTGCTCGATGTCTACTCGCAGCCTGCTAACAGAATCTGTCAGAAGATTCTGTTTGATTCCTGTCACCAGTCTGTAGTATGTTAACAGATTCTGTCAGCAGAACAGGAGCAGAATGCGACATCAATTGTGGTCAGTCTACTAACAGTTTCTGATCAAATCTGCTACCAATCTGTCGATCCTGCTAACATTTTGTTATCATTTAGGATCTTTGAAGCTCTATTATTGATGTGTCTTTTAAGTGCATTTAGGATTATTCCACTAAAGAAAATCATAAAAACAGATGATCAAATATATAAAATAAAATTCTATATTACAAGATATTACATTCTCTGGCACTAAAGTGTAGTCAACAACCCTTCGAAAGAAACCGAATCAATCAAATGTATTATAAAAATATTAAAATAATATTTTAAAAGTACATAACATTCAATAAATGCATTTGCTTATTAATACGTTTAATCAGCATTATTAAGAAAATAACAATTACGTAGAAAGGAAAATATTTTAATGATAATTTACTGAAAGATACGGTCGCAATATATTTCTTATACTGCGACGCTCGTGAGTTATATGTTCACGCGCGATTCGGTGGCTCGGCCGTCGAGCATTGAGCGGTTGTGATGAAAAAATAGGCAGCTTCAGAAATTGATCCAAAATATACAACTAATTCCGAACACTGATTTAAGATATTTTTCAAGTAAAGAAGAAAAGTATACCAAACGTTTCTCAACATTAATTAAACCTTATTTTTTATTTTTTTTTTTCTAATGAAATTAAGCAATTTTTCAATATTTTGTAAGTTTTGCATAAAATTATTGTTGCTACTACAAAAGAAATTTCATAGCTATTCAGCATTTTTTATAGATACTTAAAGCAAGATACTTAAAAGCACAAAAAAAAAACGTGAAGAATAAATTTATTATTGATCTACATAATGGTTTTCTGAGTAAAAAAAAAAAAGGAAAAAATTGCTAATTTTTATATCTTAAATCATTTACATGTTTAAAAAAAATTTAACAACGACATCATCAGATAGAGCAAAATTTTATCTTTTAGAATGTTTTTTTTTTAAATTGCGGTACGATGATTTTAAACGGTATTATGAACAATCAAAATCAAACTATTCACTTTTTACTTAATCAATGGTAATTCAATAAGAAAAAAATCATAAAAAATTTTTTTAAAAAACGATTTTGTAGGGAAAACATTTTTTAAAACTTTTTTTTTATTCAAATTTCATTTCTTTTTAACGAAGTTATAGCTGCCTGAATTTTTGCTATTTTTTTAATAAAAAATTAAGTGTTCCTCTAATTTTTGTGAGTAATGTAGAAAAAATAATGTAGAAAAAATAATGTAGATAATAATTTTACATTATTTAATAATATTTTAATAATTTTTATTAAGTATCGAATTTTAGAAATTAACTTCATACGTAATAAGAAAATAACATTTATTAAATTATACGTAATTTTTTTTGTGTTTTTTATTCTAGTTTAAAGGATGGTAACTCTGAAATTTCCAAGATTGTGTTTTATACTTTGCGTTGATTGTTTAGCGTAAAAGTAACTTCCTAATTTTTTTTAACAGTATATAATTAATAGTTAATTATATACTGTTAAAAAAAATTAGGAAGTTACTTTTTCTATTTATTTTATTTTTCGGATAAAAACGAATAAATTTACAATCTCGTATCTTTAAATTATTCTGCGAATAATGATCTAAAAGCGATGTTTAAAAATTATTTTTTAAAGTTAAAGTTTGAAATCTCAAATTTTGAATGCTTCAAATTCTGTATCTGCAATAATTTTACAGAACATTCTACAAAAAAGAAACGGCAATTTAAAATGAATCATGAAAAATTGAAGAATAAATTTTAACTTTTCGTTGATGTGTATGGGGTGAAAATTTTTTCTGTTAATTTCTTTAACTCATAAAATATAACATTACAAAAAAATGGTTTTTAGTCATTACGCTACATTTCTTTTCATTGAGTTATGACGATTTAAAATAAATAGTGTATTTTCAAATTTTTTGTTTAAAAATCTGCATTGGTCATCGCGCTGGTATTCTGTCACAATTTGAGCTGTCTGCATTTTTGAAAGTTATCTTCTTGGCATTTAAATATGCAAGCATTTTCGATATAAAAATTTTATTTTTCTAAATTTACGTATACTTTATGAGTAATTACTGTGAATCATTTATTCAGTAATGACGTGACAATTTGACGACAATGAATTTACGAGAATTTATTATAACTTCGTAACAGCTAAAATTTTAATTATTGTTATCACGAATTTTTACGATATTATTATCGAATAAATCTTCAATTCTTTAAGATTATTTGAAATTAATGCCATTGTAATGTAATCAAATCGTTGCAAAGAGAGTTTGAAGCATGCGAAAATTAAGATTTCATATTTTAAAATACTTTTCTAAACACACACAGCGCTCTGCAATTATTTTTTGCAAAGATATATAATTTAGAATTTTTTTTAACGTTGCTTTGAATAATCCCTCAATTTTTTTTCGCAGTGTATGTATATAAAAGATTTATTGATAATTTTAATATAAAGGAGCTCAAATTGCTATGTTTTATTGCAATATAAATTGTAATATAATATAAAAATTTTGGAAAATTTCAGGGAAGACATAGAGAAAGAACATGTGGATTTACGGCTTTTTACGACAGCAGCTGGTCTAGCTACTATATTGATAAAGATTTTTCAATTACGACCAGTATGGATCGATCGAGTACCTACCTTTGTTGCAAAAGATAAATCCAACATCAAAGCACGACTTCTTATTGGAAAATCGCGTAAGATGACGATCAGAGGACATCATTTTGTAGCGCATCAGTATTTTACAATAACTTACTGCAATCATTGTCAACTTATTATCGGCGGTATTGGACCTCAAGGATATTTATGCAATGGTATGTAAAATATATAATATAAAAAACTTCTAAGAATTTTCTTGGTAAAAATAAAAATTTCTTTCGAAAATTAATTTCTATAAATGGCATAATTTAATTGCAAAAATAATAATTAATTAAAATTATGTAAATTAATGTAAATTATATTAATAATAATATTAAAAGTAGTAATGATTAATAATATTTATTATTAATAGTCAGGGAATGAAAGTAATTATTACTAGATTCTTTAATCAGAGACTGGCCATGAGAATTTCATCAAATTTCTCCAAGTGCATCCATCACGTATACACCGCCATTGATGGAGGAGTGAGATAGCCTATAATTCCTTTCTTGCTTGGAGGAATTTGATGAAATCCTTCAATATAGCCAGTCTGATTAAAGTCTCTATTTGTTTCATTATTATAATAAAATGTTATTTGTAACGAAGTTACAATTACAAGTTATTTTTTTAACGTAACTTTATTGGTAACTACGTTATTTTTTTTTTTAAATAATCCTATAATGGTAACGTAGTTATATTTTTTGGTAACGATAACGAATTTTATAGTTATTTTTATCGTTACTTTGCACATGATTGGATACAGTTCAATTGGACACTAGCCCCTCATAGTGCTTGAGATTAGGCACTTGTCTGCTATAATTGGTCGTCAATTTTAAAAAAGTAATGGAAAAGTAATAAAAAGCTACTTTCTCAAGTAATGATAATTATAATGAGTTATTTTAAAAAATCGGTAACTAATAATAATAACTTGTTACTTTTTACATTAAAAACTCATACTTTAAATGCATACTTTAAACGATTTTAATAAAATAATTAAAATTTATATTTTATTCATTATTTTTATTTGATTGCCCTTTTTCATAACTGCAATTTCTTTTTTCCAATACTAATTAATTTTTTGTTGACTTGAATTTGCATCGAAAATTTTAATATGCTAATCTTTTTTACGTTGTTTTTAATTAAATATTAAGTAAGCATTTTCAAAGCCTATAACAGTCGAAGCTAGATTTGTAATAAATAATTTAATGTGAATTATATATATACTATATGTATGCATGTATGTATATATATATATATATACTATATTTGTAGCTATTCAAACTGTGCGCCGAATTTTTTCTGGACTTACAAACGCAATTAAACTACTAGAATAATACAAATTGAATTAAGTTGACAAGCAAATTTTAATAATAATTTTGATGTTCAATCCGATATCATATAAAGATGTATTGAAAAATTTTAAATAAATTTTATTTCGAAACTACCTCGGCCAGGATTTGAACTCGGATCTCTTGTATTCCGTACAAGCGTCCTAAGTCATTAGACCATCAAGTATTTAATTACATTACAAATAATTTAATATAAAAATAATTTAATAAAATTTATTATTGTTGTTTTTAATAATATATATATAGACTAACTTTCCTACAATTCTTGATTTTAAATGTGTTGAAATTTATATATTTTATATTTAAAAATTTTCCATTTTTATCTGGAAAATATGGAAAAATCAGGGAAAAATTTTTAAATTTATTTTCTGATGGTAATCTTGGTAAAAAAAAACAATTGAATATAATAATCGCAATTTCATCATTGACACGTTGATTCTTCTTGCTTTAATAAACAATACCATGATGGAATCAGAAAAGTGAAGCATTGGGGTAAGGATGGAGCGAATTTCGACAATCAAATGCATGGCACTGCATGGCATTTCAAAGTCCATGACAGTTGATCATGACAGAAATGTGTTACAAATCGAGAATGGACACGAATCGCTAACAGGCATGCCGCTAATTTTAAAACAGATTTATATGATATGAAATGAAAAGATCATGTTTCAATTAAATTGTTAAATAAATAATTAAGTAAATTATACTTATTATAATTTGAAAATAGCATTTTGTCACATGATTATTTTTTGCATTGCCGATCGCGTCTGATTGACCAAGCTGCAACTACTGTCTATTACACTTTCGGAATGCTGATTTCACATGAATAATACTACGAAGAGAAAAACAAGAAAACAGAAAATATGATGGAATCATAGACGTGCAATACAAATGATTAACTCACACTGAGAAATATTAACAATAAGATTGAAAACAAAACCGTTTATATTAAATACATTACTTTAAATACGAAGCGCTACTACGGTCTGGACATTAAGATGTTGAACTATTATATATATTCATATAAATGAATTAATTTCAAAAATAAGAAATATTATATACGATTATTTCAGAATATACATGAAGCGTCATTTTGATTTTTGGCGATTTACAGTAAAAATAAAAATAAATAACAATTTTTAATATTAGCAGAGCCAAATTGGCGATTCTAGTGTTAAAAAGTAATTTTCCATTCCCTGACAATAGTATTATATATATATATAAAAGGGTATTTCAGACACTTGGAAAGTATGCACCTCATAATAGCAGATTCCTGAAGTCATTTTGAGACGAAAATTTAATACCAAAATGTTTTGAGGTTATAATAGTTTTTGAATTATAATCATTTAAGGCTAGCAAATTATATCTAAAATTTGCGCGTTCAGGTACAATGCAAAGTTACAATGCAAAGTGCTAAAGGTAAAAGCTAATAATTACCTTTTGTTAATATCGATATAAATATTACGAAGGAAAATAAAATTAATGATATTTATAATTCTTAATATTTATTATATTAAAAAATATATTTAATCTTGGATATTATTAAATTTGTATTAAATTTTCAAAATGATTTCAGGAATCTGCTATTAGCAAATGGTGCGTCTGAAACAGTGTATGATTAATAATATATTGTCTGTCCTGTATATGATTATATGATATGTATATGATCCTGTATATGATTAATAATATATTACAGAACAATATTAACAATATATAATACTAACAAT